CCAGAATAGATTACATGTTAGACCACAAATCAAACCTCCACAAATTTTAAAAGATTGAAATCATACCATACACCTTTTTGGACCACATTGCTACGAAACTAGAAATCAACAAGAAAAAATGTGGAAAGAGCACACATACAGAGAGGGCAAATAACATGAAGTGGTCAGCTAAGAAATCAAAGAAATCAAAGATACATGAAGACAAATGAAAGTGAATACACAATGGTTGAAAGTCTTTGGAATGCAGCAAAAACAGTTCTAAGACTTAAATTTATATAAGAACTGGTCTACCTCAAGAAGGAAGAAAGATCTCAAAAAATGACACAAATGGAAAGATATTTCATGCTCATGCATTAGAAGAACAAGCACTATTAAAAATGTTCATACAATGCATAATATTAATAAAATATCTATTAAAATAACAACGACATTTTTCACAAAGGGAACAAGCAATCAAAACTATGTATGGAGCCACAAAAGACCCCAGATAGCCAAGCAATGCTAGAAAAACAAAGCTGGAGGTATCACAATTCCAGATTTCAAGTTATATTACAAAGGGTTAGTAATTAAAACTGTGGTCTTGGGGGCACCTAAATGGCTCAGTTGGTTAAGTGTCCCACTCTTGATTCAGATGCAGGTCATGATCTCATGGTTATTAGATTGAGCCCTGCATTGGACTCTGTGCTTAACGTGGAGCCAGCTTGAGATTCTCTCTCTCCCTCTCCCTCTGCCCCTCCCCTTACTCATGTGTGCACTATAAAATAAATAAATATAAATAAATAAAAACAATATGGTACTGGCACAAAAATATACAAAAGATCAATGTAACAGAATTGAAAGCCCAGAAATAAACCCATGCTTATATGATCCATTAATGTACAACAAAGGAAGCAAGAATATGCAAAGGAATAAAAGCAGTTTATTCAACAAGTGTTTCTAGGAAAGCTGGACAGCTACATGTAAAAGAATGAATCTGGATCACTTTTTACAATATATATGAAAATAAACTCAAAATGAGTTTTAAAAACCTAAACATGAGACTTGAAAGCATGAAACTCCTAAAAAGAATGCAGTTATCTCTTGGATATCTCCCTCAGCAACATAGTTGTGAATATGTCTCTACAAGCAGAACCAACAAAAGCAAAAACTACTGTGACTACAACAAAATTAAAAGGTTTAGCACAAGAAAGGAAACTATAAATAAAATGTAAGGAAACCTAGTAAATGGGAGAAGATATTTGCAAATAATATATTTGATAAGGGATTAATATAGAGAATATATAAAGAACTTACACGACTCAACACCAAAGAAAAAAATCTGATTTAAAAATTGGCAGAGGACCTGATTAGACATTACTCCTGTCCAAAAGCAACAACAAAACAACAAACCAAAAGCATACAAATGATTAGCAGCTATGAAAAGATGATCAACATCACTAATTATCAGGGAAACGCAAATCAAAACCACAATGAGATATTTCACACCAGTCAGAATGGCTAGCATTAAAAAGATAAAAAAATAACAAGGTTTTGGTGAGGATGTGGAAGGAAGGAAACAATTGCTGCAACCATTGTGGAGATTCCTCAAAAGATTAAGAATAGATAAACCATATAATCTAGTAATTCCACTACTCAGCATTTACCCAAAGAAAAAAACACTAATTCAAAATGATATCTGTGCTTCTATGTTTATTGCAGCATTATTTACAACAGTCAAGATACGGAAGCAATGCAAGTGTGCATTGATAGATTAATAGATACAGAAGGTATGGTATATAAATATGTGCAAGAGAATATTATTCAGCCATAAAAAAGCTTGTCATTTGTGACAATATGGATGGCTTAGGAGATATTATACAAAGTTGAATAAGTCAGAAAGAAAAAGCTAAAAAACTATATAATTGTACTTATATGCAGAATCTAAACAAACAACAATAAAACAGACTTAAATACAGAGAACAAACTGGTAGTTGCCAGAAGGGAGGTAAATGGGGGGAAAGACAAAATAGATAAAGGAAGATTAAGAGGTACAGACTTCCAGTTATAAAATAACTAAGTCATAAAGATGAATAGTACAAAATATGAGATGTAGTCAATAATATTGTAACAATGTTGTACGGTGACAGATGGTGACTGCACTTAACTGTGGAGAACTTTGAGTAATGTATAGAGTTGTTGAATCAATGTGTTGTGCACTCAAAACTAAGATAAAGTTTTATGTTGATTATTCTTCAATCAAAAACCCGTGTATAGGGGGATAAACTCCAGGCTGGAGGAGGGAGTTGCTATTTGCAGGGATCACAAGAGTTTACTAGGCTGATGGTCACTCCCATTTCTTTTTCCTCTTTTCTTAAAATGATAGTTTTATTGAGCTATAGTTCACATAGACTTTATTTCTTGATCTACTTGTCAGTAAAACAGATGTTTGTTTGAAAATACATTAGTAAAAATAATTTTAATGGGAGGAGTTTGGTGACGACTGGGTGGCTCAGCAGTTGAGCTTCTGCCTTCAGGTCAGGGCGTGATCCCAGAGTGCTGGGATCAAGTCCCACATCAGGATCCCTGCATGGAGCCTACTTCTCCCTCTGCCTCTCTCTGTGTCTCTCATGAATAAATAAATAAAATCTTAAAGAAAATGGGAGGAGTTTGGTGTGTGCTTATCTAGAACAATTACCAGATAGCAAATGAAGAGCCCACGGTGCAGAACACTGTGTAGAAAATGCTGCCATTTTGTACAAGGTGAAAATAGTTGTGCATCTTTGCTCATAGGTTCATTAAATAGACCTGCTAAGATGACATGATCCCTCTGGTACAGACACTTGATGAATGGTCCTTGCATGTAAAGGGAATTATTATTGTATATGTATATAGCCCTTGAATTATAAACTATATAGAGGATTTCTATTCAACAAATAATAAAAGAAAAATTAAAGCCAAAATATCACTACAAATTATATAGGTCTACTCCTTATTCAGTTTCCACCCTGACCGGGTATATTTTACTTCCTGCCGTGACCACCAGAGTTAGCAAGGACTCCACAGGTTTCAGGGCTCAGTCCTCGAGAAGACTACCCTCACTTCAGTCACCAGCCGCACTTGGGGGAATTCCCAGGTCATCTGGACCCCAACTGTCTACAAATTAGAAGGGTCTTATAACCCCCCCTCAGGCTTGCTAATTGATTAGAATGATTCACATGAGTCAGGAAAATTTTATACTTACAAATACAGTTTTATTTAAAAAGAAGACACAAAGGCTGAGGTATGGGAGGGAATAAACAGCTTCCATGCCTTTCTTCATTGAGCCAGTGTGTGCACCCTCCCAGAACATCAATGCAAACATCAACCAAGAAGCCCGCTGATCCTTGGTGTTCAGAGTTTTGATGGGAGTTTCATTACATAGACATCATTAGCCACTTGATTGAACTCATTCCCCACTCTCCTTTGCCTTCCCAGAGGTCCAAGTGGCCCAAAGTCCCACCGTCTGTTCACATGGTTGGTCTTTTTGTTGGCCAGCCACTAATCTGAAGTTACCTAGGATCCTGCCAGCAATCACTTCATTGTTATATGGATAGCTATCTCTCTGTGATTTGTCCTGCATAACCAACCGGGACTTGCAAGCAAAATAAGAAATGTTGTTTGTGAAACTCACGCTATGTAAATAATCATGGGAACCTTGTTATTTAAAATAGATTATTTTTCCTCCAGGACAGAACTGACCATTCTGTTCTGGACACCAAGAGCTACAAATCTTGTCTTACATGCCCTCCTACTGTAGGCTGGCCAGGCCACGTGGAATGAAATCCAGGAGAGGAGATAAGCACACATACTCCAGGCTCCTTGAAAATATAGAAACATAGTCATCAGAGAGGGAGAAAAAAGCATTAGAGACTATTAACTATAGGAAACAAACTGAAGGTTGCTGGAGGGAAGGTGGGTAGGGGAATGGATTAATTGGGTAATGGGCATTAAGGAGGGCACATGATAGGATGAGCACTGGGTGTTATACACAACTGATAAATTATTGAACACTAAATCTGAAACTAATGATGTACTCCATGTTGGTTAATTGAATTTAAATAATAAAAAAAGAAAATATAGGAACAAAATGACATGGAAATGCAGCTCCCTATAAACTGCACCTAGGCAAACAAATGTTTAATTTCAAACACTGTCATTTGCCCTATAAATATGGCCCTTATAGGGACAGTCAGTTGGAAGTCTCACCTGAGGGAGCACATTCTGCCAAGCCCCTCAATCAGAACTCTAACATGGCTGTTTCCATGGGGCTTCCCCAGATGTATCCAATTTGATGTAACTTTGCCGCATTCCTATTTACTGCCTACTATTACCTCAATCTATGTGTAGATTCCTTTCCTCTTCTGTTTCTATTAGGTTTCTATAATAAAAGTAAAGTTTTCTTTTTTATTTTTCAAAACCAAAATATGGTTGCTGTGAATCTTTTGTTCAAGAATAAGCATAACAAAGTAAACTCGGGAAATTCCCATAGTTTCTGAAGCTCTGTGCCGGGAACCAGGGTCAAAGACGAGATACACTCTTTATTCGATTTCACTCTCCATAGAATTTGGGCTGTTCAAGGTTAACAGGGGGGCCATGAGTGTTGTTTTTCCAAAACTCAGGTCTGTGTTCTCTGATTCTGGATTCAATTTCTGTCTGGAGCATGGGGCCTGGTTGGAGTGTCCTTTTGGGGTCACTGAGAAGCCTCCTGCTGGGGTCCCTGTGTCCAACTCTTACTCATGATGCCCAAAGCATACAAAATAAATAGCCATGGTGTCTTTCAGTTTCACTTCCTGGCAATGGCTGTGTTTCTCGCCAAAGAAGCCTACTGAACTTTTATTTCACTTTCTGTTCCTGGAAATGCAGGGCTCTACAATGTGCTGGCTGCCTCTTTACTATTGGCCAAATTCCTCTGAGGGTGAAGGAAAGGCCAGACATTATTTAAATCCTGCCAGCTCCTCAATTTAAACATTTCAAGTCACAGTCAGCTTTTTAATCTGCAGAGGGACCATCGCACCACACAGGACCTGTTCCAGTGCAAGGCCAGTCTTCGCAGAGTTTTTCTGCCCTGGGCTGCAGGGAGCACTTCATCCAGGCTCTGCATTTCCTGGCCTGCCAGGGGACACATTCAGAGCTCAACTCCTTTTTTTCAGGAGCTGGTAAGCAATAAACCACTTTGGATTGAGTATAGGTCTAAAAATAGAATTACAGATCTGTAGGTCTAAGGTTGGGAGAGCCTGGATGCTCCATTTTGGGTGCTGTGGACTTAAAAGTCTGAGGCACAGAATGTCTAAGGAAATGTTTTTAAAGGAAGAGAAGGTGGGTGGCTTCAGCCAAGTAGAGCACTTAACTATTTGGGACATCTTCATAGGGCAGTTAACAAATTTTATTCCTGTGAGCTGCAGAAGGATCATGTGAATGTCAGGGGTGTCAGTGCATAGGGGCTTTCCCTAAGAGCTTCTGCCATCCAACATCCCCCATCTTGTACCAAAATACTTTTCCCTGGGGAGACAATGCATATGATCTGTTAAAAAATAAAATTCAAATCAATAAATTTTAAACAATGATTGGCTTTATTAAATGATTCACAAATTAGGCAGCATCTTATCTAGCAAATACAAAGGATTCCACTGAGCTGTAAGAGAGGAAATATTTATAAAGGAAGAGAAGACGGGAAAAAGAAAAATTATTAGCAAAGAATCCATTGTTTTAGTCAGAATTGCTCTCCTAAGTTTAAGGGCAACGGTCTATTAGCAAATTCCCTAGTGCTAACCTAGGTTCACTGGTTAAAATATGCATTGCTGGGGGAGTGAATCTATAGTTAGGTCAAGTATTAGATTTTGGTTTATTAAGTCAAGGCCTTAACTTAAGTGGCTCCTATGGCCCTGTCACCCTGTGACCCTGTGCTACTTCATTTTCACAGTTCCCCTATTTTGATCAGACTCTGCTTAACTTAGATGGGTGATCAAAATGTAAGGCATTGGTGCCACTTTCACCTACTGTTTAGTGTTGCAGCTTTTGTTGATCCTTTGCGTGGTATTCACATGTCATGATGTTTTTGCTTAATTTCTGTAGTATTCACAGATGATAACTTCAGGTTCACAATTTTGGGATCTGCTATCCTCTGCCTAATTTTTCTGGTGTTTCAGTCTCAGGAAGATTACTTGTTTTGAAGTTTGATATTAGTGAACATGCATTAAAAATTTTTAAGAGCATACAGTATACCAGGCAAATTATTATTATTTTTATAAACAGGATAATTTTCAATGGTTGGAGTGCACATTGAAGCCATGGTACCCAAGACCCAAGCACTCAAAATCAAATAAGTCAAAGAAAGACCCCATTGAAGAAGTCATCTTTTTAAGCCAAGTGGCTTATCTTATGTAGTTGTGTTTCAACTTCCCCAGATGTATTAATCTGGATGCACCTGGAGGTGTTGGTCACAGTATAGACAACTCTTGCTAGGCTAAAAGATAATCAGGGGATATCTTATTGTCAAGAGAATCTTTGGCCAGAGAGTCTAAGGATCTTTGTGGGGCAGCTCCTGCCTTAACAATGCATTCTGCAATATCTTTAGGAATTAAGGGAAGTTTCTGGATCAAATTATTGTGTAAATTTACTGTTAACTAGAGAAGCCTGGCTCCGCCAAAGGAAACAAATCCTATGTCATGAATATCTCCTGATTGGCCTTTTTTAACTCAATGATATAAATCCAGGGGAGTCAACCAATGAGATGTCTTTATTTGCTTGAAAAAAATTATGAACATAATTAAATTTTCTTTTAGCTTAAAGTAAAAGGTTGTTTTAAATTCTGGAGTTTACTCCCCCTTCTGAGCAATGGGCTGGGACATATAGCTAAGGGTATTATTTTTCTAGGACTCTGCCAGAGTAAAGGAGAGAAAAAGATGGAAAAAGAGTTTCACTTTTTTGTTAGTCTGAAGACTTGATCTATTGTCTTGGATGAAAGCAGTCAACCTCAATCAATGTCAGCTACTTATCTTCCTATTCAATTGATTTAGAGATTTCTAGTATCTGTACAACAGGTGTAAGATAAAGCCTTCCTTAGCAATGAAATATGTACTCAAGATTCAACACCTTCTAGTTTTCTAGGAATGTCAGTGGTTGGGAGCACTTGGTACAATTCCTTTCAATGGAGTTCAAAATGACAATTCCAGAATACCCAGTCACCATGCTCTAGACTATGGCCAACAGGACCCTTTGAATTGGGATCTGGGAGACATCTTTAAGCTGCTGATAATAGGCTTAATGGTAAAACATGAGAGACTTTGCCATAGTTGGTCATACTAGCATGATACAAGGGATCAGCAGAAAGTTGTATACCAATAGACATTGGTTTGCCAGTGATTATGTTGTGTGAGGTGAGTTTACATATCTGAAGGGGGTACTGCAAACAGCAAGTCCAAAGGCAACACTTTAGGGCAAGGAAGTATAGTTTAAAGTTTTTAAGTATAAGGATCCAGTTATTTCTTTTAATCTTGCCTGATAGATTGAGGGTGATAAGGCCAGTGATGATTCTAAGAAGTTTGCAAGGTTGTTAAAGCTGGTATGATTTGTCCAATGAAATGACTGCCTCAATCACTGAAGATTGTAGAAGCGAAATTGCAAGTGGGAAACACATTTTCTAACAGATTCCGTGTCACTGTGAGGTCATCAGCCTTCCAGCAGGAGAAATCTTCAACATATGTGAAAAACATACATACAACATCAAGAATATATAAAAACAATCCTCAAGTGCTCAAGGTCCAGAGAGAATAGGTGTGAGGCCTCTGATGGCAAAGCATTTTCTTCTGATTCAGAAGCAGAGGGTTGCCATGTTACTTTAGCATCAGAATGGCAAACATCTCACAATGAAGAGACATTTTTGCAGCAGCAGAATGGATTTTGTCCACATGTGCCACAATCTTTATAGATTCTTTTGCTAGCTGCCTTTGCATGAGAGTCAACTGGGGCATTTCCTGATACTCTGGGGTAGTCTTTTTTTGTGGCCTCAGTTTTGATGATAGCAATTTCAGAAGGTAAAAGAATAATTACAAGTGGTATCATTAGACTAGGACATATTAAATTTCCAGTAATTTCACATGTGTTTTGTTTTCTAGGAGTATAATCTAAACAGTAAGGGAACTTTTACAATATTTTTTAATATTTTATTTATTTATTCACAAGAAACACAGAGAAAGAGGCAGAGACACAGGCAGAGGGAGAAGCAAGCTCCATGAAGGGAGCCCAACGCGGGACTCAACCCCAAGGACTCCAGGATCACGCCCTGGGCTGAAGGCAGGCACTAAACCCCTGAGCCACCCAGGGATCCCCGAAACTTTTACAATCTATTACCAAAACTAGATCAAATTTAAAAACAAAGACTTTGTCCTCTCAACAGATAGAAAACCAAATTCTAATTTTGCACCAGCTTACTTTTGTATTAGAACATATTCTTTCCACAAATTCAACTCCAATAAACAGAAATAAAAAAAAGAACATATTCTTTCCAATGTGAGCCATTCCTGATTGTGAAAAAAATTCCTTTCCTAAGATTTCTTTTTTACAGTCTTTCTACAACTTGTTCTTCCTTTTTTTCTTTCCAAAAGCACATGTTCTATTTTTCTTCATTCCGGGATGTTTCCTTTTTAAATTTTTAGTTGCTTTAACCACAAACATTAACTAGAGTTCTTAACCCTTAGAAACTTTAATTTCTAGGGAAAGTAAGTAGTAAGCACTGGTTAATCGTGTTATACCAGTATTCTTTAGATTGCAAATTCATAAATACATTTCATCATTTCTGGTAACATGAGCTTTTTTATACTACAATCTTTTGATACAAATGCCAAAAAAGTTATTAGTAGACCTACATTTATCTCTAATTTTCCTGTAATAGAGAACCCAAAATTAGAGAAACGAATGTTTAGTAATTAATGTTTTGTTATTTTATTTCACCTGGAAATGACCTAGATATTTAATGAATTTAACTTAAACTGTTACCTAATCTAACTCAGTGATTATCTTTTTGATAATCAAAAGATTTGGGGAAAGGGGGGAAAAGGGAGAGAGAAACTAACCATAGAGACTATTGGCTATAGAGAACAAACTGAGGGTTGATAGAGGGAAATGAGTCGGGGGTGGGCTAAATGGGTGATGGATGTGAAGAAGAGAACTTCAATTTTTTTATGTAGGCTTAATGCCCAGAATGGGGCCCAGTATGGGGCTTGAACTCATGACACTGTTGATCAAGACCTGAGTTGATATTAGGAGTCAGATGCTTAATCTACTGCGCCATCCTAGAGCTCCAAGGAAGGCACTTCTTATCATGATTAATGAGTGTTATATGTAAGACATGAATCATCAGTTTCTACTCCTGTTTTTTAATTTGTCTCTCTCATTTTTTTCTTTTCTCCATTTGCTCATTTGTTTTACTTCTTATATTCCACATATGAATGAAATCATATGTTGTTGTTGTTTTTTTTACTGATTGGCTTATATGACTTAGCATTATACTGTCTTGCCCCATCATGTCTTTGCAAAAGGGAATATCTCATTAAGTTCATGGTTGAATAATATTCCATTGAGTAGATAGATATAGATATAGATGATATAGATTTAGATAGATATAGATACAGATATAGATATAGATATAGAATCTTTTTAATCCATCTCTAGATGGATACTTGGGGAGCTTCCATAATTTGGCTTTTGTAAGTAATGCTGCAATAAACACAGGGGTGCATGTATTCCTTTGAAATAGTATTTTTTTTATTTGTTGAGTAAATAGCCACTAGTGTCATAGTTGGATGGTAATACAGTTCTATTTTTAACTTTTTGGGAATCTTCCATACTGTTTTCTACAGTGGCTGCACAAGTTTGCATTCCCACCAACAGTACACCAGGAGTCTTTTTCCTATACATCCTCTCCAACACTTTTGTTCCTTGTGTTTTTAATTTTAGCCATTCTGAAATATCCGTGAGATGATATCTTATTGTGGTTTTAATTTACATTTCCTGATGATAAGTGATGATGAGGATTTTTTTATGTGTCTGTTGGTCATCTGGATGTTTTTAGAGAAATGACTGTACATGTCTTCTGCCTATATTTTAGTTGGATTTTTAGGGGGGTTTTGTGTTTTTTAAGATTTGTTTATTTATTTTG